TTGTCTCCTTGTTTGTCGAGGGCATTCTGAACTCGAGTAAATATTTCAGAATGAGAGCCACAACTCTCGGGTCCATGTTGTTCCAGTCCAGAGACGTTTGATCAGGCAGAGGTCAATAGGTCACGAGTCTTACAGAAATGCAAACATCACCTGTAGAGGGCCTTTCAGCAAATGTATGACGATGTGTTCAAAGTTTCAAGCTGAATCGGTGAACCGGGTCATAAATCGCCTGGAAGCTGTGAAACGCCTGCGGTTGGTTGGCAACAGTTAACGAGACAAACATTTACAACCATTTTGATTTTCACATTTCATGAACTTTGACAACATATGCATGTCAAAGCTGGCTCTGAAAGCACTTTATTCAATTTGTCAGCTTATTTCATCAAAACCGAGAACAAAAATAGTGATAAATGAATCAAATTGATGTAGTACCATTAAAGATGGCAAACACAAACTTCCTATCAGAGTGAAGGGAAAGTTAGTTTTCTCTGCAAAGCATTTTGTGTAGTGAAAAACTTACATGTTTTTAGTTCACCCATAAATGTGACTCACAAGAAAATGACCTGGAGTCAAACAGCTGAACTTCATTTCAGTTCCTCACACTGATTAAGAAAGAAAAACATTTCAGATCTCAAACACTTTAAAACAGAAACCAAAACCAGGAACAAGTAGAAGGAGAGGCAGAAAGTGATTAATGGGTTGTGGTTCACCTGCAGCTAGAGAGCAAGCGTCCAGACAGACCTGAGTCTGTCGCTGCCATCAGAGCTGAACCACATCAACGGCACAGTCACATCAAAACTCACAGCGTTGCTGTGTGAAAGTACCACAGCTTTCACTTCGAGGAATTTCAGCCCTAGCTAAGCTCTGAGTACTTCCCCGTCCACTCATTATGATAAAACGAGGCCCACATGAAGCGGCCGGATGTTTCTGGGGAACCACAGCAGCATCTGTCTGGTTTCTCTGAGACTTTCCTGAGCGCCGCCAAAAATCCCACCAGCTTCACGCCTGGTTTTGTTTTCTGAGAGCTGCAGCGACATGAAAGTCCGAGGCAGAGAAAGTCCTGACGTTTTCTCATCAGTCAGGATGTTTGCTCCTCAGTGGACTTCAGGGGCGGAGTTCCCCTCTTCTCTTCTTCTTCTCTTTGGCTGCGCAGAGCAAACAGCTGCAGGAGGAAACCTGCTGCAGCAGCTCATCAGCTGCAGCAGCAGCTGTCAGATCTTCTGCAGGTGATTTCCTCCAGCTGCTGACAGGAAACTAACCGGCTGTGAGATGCTGCTCTGCACATTTTGCTTTCAGATCCACAGACTTAGTTACAGTAAATCACCTGCTGGTTCATGAACAGGCCTGATGGTTCTGCACGGTTTTCAAGGCTTTTGAGGTTTAACTTAAACTTGTTGAAAATCAATTAATCACATAATAAATTAAAATGATTTATGTTTTCTCTCTTCCTTCCACAAACTGGATGCTAAAACTTGTTGGTCTGATATTTTGGTCTCTTTTTTTTTTTGAATGACTGTTTTGTTCATAGAGATTTTATAATTATTTTTTATTTGTTGTTTCTGTTGTTTAGTTGATTTATTTTGGATATTTAAAATGTCTTCCAGTTCCTGCATTAAATGTTCATTAGAATTTGAAGTTTATTCATCTGTGAGAATGTTGTTCTTACTTTATGGTGTCATTATGTTAATCTTCTCAAAACAACAATATTATTATTATTTTCCTCAAAAACTTCTGGGACAATTTATCATCCGCTAAAGTTCGTCACTGTGACAGGTCTGACTAATCAGCAATGCTGAAACTAATTTTCACTGCATTCCTCCAAACTTCCTGCATCTCCAACAATTATGTGCAAATCTTGAAAAAAACACATTTTCATAATTTCAGTGTTTCCATTAAATAAGAAATAAAATTAAAATTACATGTCAATTAGCTTGTCCACATGATTAAAAATCATTATTAGATGAGATATTTTCATAATTCAGTGATCAGCATCTATCAGCCAATCAGAGGAGGCGTGGCGCGACAAGCCACGCCCACTTTCAAGCGACTACGTTTGCGCCATTTTGTAGAAACCAGACGGTGATTTTACTGATTGAAGAGTTTTGATTCAACGTTTCATGAACTGTGTGATTGTGGTGGAGCCAGATGCACTGAAGAAGATCACTTCCTGTGGTCTTCATGGTTTTCTCTTGGGATATTTGTTCCCAACCCTCAGCCTTTCTGCAGAGAGCTGCACCACAAGGTCTCAATCTGCAGGTCAGATAGACTAAAACATGAAAATATTATTTTTTTTTAATTAAAGGAAACTGAAAGATTTCCACTTCTGGGTTATTCATTGGTGCATCAAACATGGAAAACGATAGTTATGATGATAGAGCAGCTGTAAAAACACAATAAACCGGGATTCCCATCATCATAAAGAAGGAATTCCTCTGATGTTAAACTTTCCATTATTTTTCCATCTGGATTACTCTCAGCAAATTACAAAATAAACCATAATTCCCCTCAAAGGCAAAACTTTCATCAGATTCTGAAAACACAAACAAGCTCATTTTTGCTCCCTGACAAATTTTAAAAAATGGAACAAATGTGGGTGGAGCAAATGCATTGTGGGCGTGGCCAATCTGGGATGAGTGGGTGTGGTCAAGTCAAGGGAAAGAGTCGTTGCCACCTTAGGAACTTTCCTGCTACATTTAGTGACTTTTCAGACTTTCTTTTCCAAAATATAAAAAATTAAAAAATATATGTCAAAAAGACTGAAATCTAAGTAACATATTTAGACAGTTTGCTTTCATAAACAGTGGAGGTTGGCAGCTAGCTGTGCTAACAGGGCGGTGGCAGTGAGACAGTGGTGAGGTGTGTGGAAGAGTTCTAGGATCGACCAATGAGGGCAAACCAAAGTCCCCATGGAACTACATTTCCCAGAAGACACCACAATGAGGCAGAGACAACGAGATAGCAGAGCTTTAATATGGAAAAGGGAAGAGGAGGTTCATGAATGTCTGAGGATTTGCAGAGATGCTGGGGTTGAGATGGTGGCTGTTGATCCTGTGGAGCGCCCCCTAGAGACAGCAGTCAGAAGAAGAAGCAGATTTAAAACCAAACCAGAAGTTTTGATCAGAGACCAAAGAAAACTCCCAGGCCTCCTTCAGGTTCAGGGCTTTGTTTCACTCAGAACAGCGCTACCTTTTGACACTTGCCTATTTTTTTCACCTTAAGATGGAGATGTCATTTCCATTTGACCCAATTGGACAGCAGCTGAATTCATTTTTGTTTTGCGAGATCTGAACATTTTCATTTGGTTCTTGAGTTTCTGCCTGGAAAGTTTTTCCTCTGGGACAAAATCAGTCTCCTAGAGACAATGACAGAGACTGAGAAATTTCTGTTAGATAAACATGAAAACAGTCCTCCACCTTTTGTTTACTTCTTCTTCCTCTTCTTCTTCACGGTTCTCTGAGGATGGAGCAGGTTTGGCGACTTACTGTAAGTTCTTTCACTGTTTGCTGATTCTGTTGCTGATCCCTGAGGGAAAACAGGCACACCCTGCCGAAGCATTCTGGGCCATTCTCAAAGAAAAGTTAACTCTGTAACCCTGCAGAGCAAACAGAGCAGCTCCAGCAGGAAGACCCTGAGCAGGTGCTGCCTCCTGGTGGCCATTTTCAGTGGTGCGCAGCAAAAACAAAAATAAATAAATAAACAAATAAATAAATCTATTTACTTCTCCGGAGGGCAAAAGTACTACTGCAAATAATTTTAAAAAATGCTGTTATTTATGGCAATACAAGGGTTCAGGACAGCAGTATTTTTAACTAGAATACACTTAATGCTTCAAAGTCAATTCAATTCAAATATACTTTATTAATCCCAAAGGTAAATTAAATGTTGTTGAAACTCATTAATTTATATTTTTCAAAGAATAATTGAAGATAACACACGTACATGGAAAATTCAAATGTTTAAAATTATTGATTTTGAATTATTTGGATTAATTATTATTAATTATTATGTGAATGTTTTCTCAAATGTACAAAGACCAAATTTACATCTGTTCAAAAATTATATTTTTGGTTCAGTTGATTGAACAAAGTTTCTATAATTACTTGAAATAATCGTAAGCAGTTTTTAAGCTTTCTGAACATCTGACAGTTGTTTTCATATTTAAATTTCTTAAGAACAATATTAGGGAGATTTAGCTCAATAAGTTATAAATCAAATAAAGTCCTAAATTTTGTATCTGAAGGAACTTAAGAGATAACGATAGAAAATCAGTGTATTTGTAGATCTGAAGAATCTACAAATATAGTTTGTAATAGTTTGTAATATTTTTGACTGACATATAATCAGACTATACTTTGGTATTTGTCAAGAAACCTTCAAAATATTACACAGAAGTGATGCTTTTATGACTATGCAATAGAATAATCAAATAAGAAATGGCTGTAGCTAACAATTATTTTAGTTAAGTCTAAGTGAAGTAAAGATTGAAAAATAGAATTATTAATATACACTGTACATTATTAATCAATGTTACAATAGGTTCAGTTTTGATTAACTTGATAAACCTAAATATATTTCGAACACAAAATAGGCACCTGTAGAGTTCCATACTATTTTTCAGGTGTATAAATTTAAGATAATAAAACAAAGAACATAATAATAACAGTATAGGGTAAACAAATAGGATGAATAAATATTTTAAATACTAATTAATAAATTAGGCTTCAAATTCAAACACATTTTAATGACACTACAGGACTTCCATACAGTTCGTCGGGTTGGTTTCTAGACTAGTGACGTCAGTTGTTGCAGAGTCACTGCAGACGGTTCGACTGTAAACAAGACGCTTCTGACGGAGAAAAGTCCCGATCCGATTCGAAAACCCCGAATATTGGCTGCTGCAGATTTTTAGCACTGGTGTCGGTCCATTAGCGGTTCTGTAGAACCTGCTCTGGATTTTGAGTCTACCGTTTTTTGTTTTTAATCGCGTTTGGCGGCGACAGAGCTAGCATTAGCTTTTGCCCTTTAGCCTCTTTGGAACCAGCCCAGAATTTTCTGGACTCTTCTGGACTTGTGCTTGGCGTGGCCCGGACAACCTGAGCCGTGAGTTCTAGGGTTCTACCCGTCTATCAATTCAGAGTTTAAAGCTGTTCGGAACCGCAGAGGTTCCGTCCAGTCAGTTAGCTGGTTCGTTAGCATGCTAACAGAGGCGCTAAAGTTAGCCAAAGTAAAAGCACCTTTCACAGAAATAGACAACATTTGATCAGATCTAACTACATATTCTAGACAGGATTATTCTGCACAGTTTAATATATTCTTTAAAACCTAATTATTGTTTAGAGAAACTTTTAGTTCAAGTATGAAAGCATAAAACACTCAGTTTAAAAGACCAGGGATGTTTATTCAACAGTGGCAACTTCACAGCTTTAGCAAATATTATAAAGAGCTAAAGAATGTTTTTAATTATAAATAAAAGAGGTGGGTTACATTGTCTTAGAATCTTATCACAATATTTAATATTTATTGAAAATAACAATAAAACTTAAAATAAAGACTGCTCATTTTCAAGCAGGCATCAGGGAGTGGAAAGTTATATTATCTCTAACCTACTCAGAGTAACTGCATTTACTAATATTCTCATATTTATTGATGCTGTAATGAGACTAGAAGTTGAGACCAGCATATATAACTATACTGGCATTTTGGTAGGTTTTGAAAAATTTTAGTTAGTGTTATTGATTTGATCTCAATAAGGATTTTTTCTCAATAGTGATACAATGAATATCTATCTTTCAAATATATTTTTTTAAATGCAGGTTTGCAGCCTTTCATTGGTTAAGTACATTGAATTTTTATGACAGAACGATACGAAAAGTGGCAGGAATGCTGATTTAGATCAACATCCCATAGAATAAACATTATCCGTCCTCTTCTGTTTAACCTAAAAACATAAAAAATGTGTTTCGGTAGATATTTATCACGAATGATAAGTTGTCTTTGTTTTAAAAGCTGGATCACCTGAGTGGTTCTAAACTGGTTTTATTCAGCGGAACTGAGAGGAAAATCCAGTGATCTGGATCATTTAGATGAGGATTAAAATATTACGCAGTTTACTTTAAACATAAACGAGAATTTTGGAAATTTATTCTATTTGGAAAAAAAAAGAAAAGAAATTCAAGGCCTTGTTATTCAGATTTTAAATCTGAAAACCTTTAAATATCTTAAACTAAAAAAAGCTTTTAAAATGTTTCATCATACAGATTAAAACTCAGACCAGATTGGATAAAGTGATAAAGTCTTTAAGATTTTAGAAAAGATATTTTGTCAATAATAACGGTGACCGTTGCCATAGTAACAGTGGTTGCTCAGAGTGAGAAAAGAAAGACAGAAATATAATAATCAGCTAATCAGCGCCGCCATGTGGTGGGCGAATTATAACTCACTGTTATGATGGGTTCAAGGGTCACGGTTGAGAAAGTGGAAGCTGGCGTTTATTCGTTGTGGGATTGAAGCGGGTCGAGGATTCGGTCGCAGGAGAAAGTGTGAATAGTTTTGACGAGGCGTTTGTGCTGCAGCTGGGGGGCTGGTCGGAGACACCTCCTCCCACCATGGAGGCAGGAGGGAAAGACTGCGAGGAGGAGACGCTGCAGACGGCCTTCAAGAAGCTCAGGGTCGACGCTGAGAGGTAGGTGACCTTGTCGGTTTTTCCTGAACGGATCAGGAAAACCAGCGGAGTCTCCTGATTGGTTCTTGCTGATGAATCCCTCATCTGATGTGGATCAGAACCAGATGTGAAAATTAGTTTTTGCTTTAATGTTCCTCTCTGCAGTCTGATTTCGGGTCAAGACGATTTTCTCTTCTGTTTGTCCAGTTTGTCCGGTGCTGAGAGCGTTTCCGATGCGTTGACGCCCAGAGCGCCGGCCCGAGTCGGTCTGGATGGCGCCGGCGGAGCGAAGGCCAAACTCAACAACTCCAAGGACACCTGGCACTGGTAGGTGGAACCCTGCAGCGATACGGCAGGCTGTCTTAGCATAACGTCAGCTTCATCACATGATTCCAGATCAGTCTGGGTTCTGCTGGATCAGAGAAGATCAGGAAGTTTCGCACCATCTCAGCTCAAACTTTCTATGAAGCTGGAATTTGTAAAAAGTTTTATAAAATTATGTTTTCTGCATATTTGTTAAAATTATCTCCATATTGTGACATTTTCGTATGAGACCGATAATCCAAAGAGCTTCTCTATCATCTGAACTAATCCATCTGATCAGAACCAGCAGATATTTCCATCCTTTCCATCTTTTCTCCTTCAGCTGCACAAGGAAAACCTCCAGGGGAACGTCCTCGCGGAGCCAGCGGCGTCGGCGGTCGAAGTCGCCCATCCTACATCCGCCCAGGTTCACCTACTGCAGCAGCGCCGCCTCAGCTCTGGCGCCCCCTGGTGGCAGCCTGAAGCAGCAGCGACTGGCCGTGTCCGACCCGGCAGCCGACGACGTTCCGGTCCAGGCGGAGCGGCGTTCCTCCGCCGTGCCGGAACGCTGCTCACCTGTTCTTTTCGGAGTCAGTCCGAGTTATGAGACCCGGGTGGGGGGTCCGTCACCAGAGGGTGCCACGGCAGCAGCACCCCCACGGTGGGAAGGCGGGCGCTCCAGAGAGGAGAAGGGTTCCCCTGATGGAGCCTCGGCGTCGCTGAGGTCCGACGCAGCAGATTTCCGGGCTCTATCTGAGCTGCACTGCGCGGAGGGGACGCAGCCCCCCTGCGACTGCCCCCACAGCGCTGCCGCCGGCTCACAGGACGGCGGCGAGCGCGAAGCCGGATCCGGCTGCGGCTGCAGGCAGCAAGGGCCCGGCTGGAACGGCGTGGAGGTTTACTCCTTCACGGGGTTGCGTAGCGTCCAGCAGAACGAGGCCAGAACTCTGAGCGGCAGCTCCACCCCCTCCGTCACGTCGCCGCTGGCGTCCGGCAGCTCCGCCCCCTGTGCCGCGTCGCCGCTGGCGTCCGGCAGCTCCGCCCCCTGTGCCGCGTCGCCGCTGGCGTCCGGCAGCTCCGCCCCCTGTGCCGCGTCGCCGCTGGCGTCCGGCAGCTCCGCCCCCTCCGTCACGTCGCCGCTGGCGTCCGGCTCTCCCCGGTCCTGCTCGGAGCAGGCGCGCGCCTACGTGGATGACATCACGATAGAGGACCTCTCCGGCTACATGGAGTACTACCTCTACATCCCCAAGAAGATGTCGCACATGGCGGAGATGATGTACACCTAGACCTTCAGCAGTCAGAGAGGAGAGGTTTGGGTTAGATTGAAGCTGTTTTAATCTGGATTATAATCCCCTTCAGACTGACTGGATCGCGCCACAGCCGAGCGTCTCTGTCGGTTTCATCTGGTTTCTGTGTCTTCTGTCAATCACTCTGTTTTCCAGATTTCAAGTTTACAAATGAAGTTGCCAAAACTCGCGGGAGTTTTAATCCCAGCTGGGATTCTGTCTGCGGTTCCTGGATGAATAAAGAAGCTGAATGATCCACTGGGAATGTTGTTGTTTTTCTTCTGAAAATAATCTGCTGATTTCAGGATTATCTGAGACTTTAGAGTCTCACCTAAAGGTCAGAGTTCAAATGTTCCTCTCTAACAGCAGAGAGTAGTCCGGATCACTGGACTCTTTCACAGCCTCGGCTCGGATTATTTCTTCACTTTTATCCAACACTAAAGACCAGGAAGTTCTGAGAGAAGATTTAACCTCATATGAAGTATAAGTGTAAAACTCTATAATTTGATTGTGATTTTACATCATTAATCATCTGAAATATGTTTTAAAATCATAAAAACACCAGAACTGCTGATTACAGTTATTTTCAGCCATAACTGTAAAATGTAAATGTCTGCATAATTTCCCAGTTTGGTCTTGTTGCCTTTCTACTTGAAATGCTTCACGACTGAGTGTATGTAGTAAAATTATACAAATAGATGTTAGAAAATATTTTAAAAATACTTACCCAAGAATAAGACCAGAGTAGATGGAGCTTGTTGCTTCTTTTTGTCGCTTCACTATAACAAGTTTCATCTGGATATAGCCGTGTTTATCTTAAAGAGTGTGTCTGCTTTTTGCTCTCAAAGTGGGATAAAACTTTTTTTATTATTATTTAAAATGTTTTCTGGGAAATTTATGTATTTTTTTTCTCATCAGGGGAGGTCCTGTCATTTTAACTACACAGTGTCGCTGTGGACCAATCAGACCACGACAACTGGACGTTGTCCCCGGAAAGTGGTGCCGCGATCCAATCAGAGGAAAGTGCGTGTAGGTTTGTGGATGCTTTGACCAATCAGAAGGCGCGTGTGCAGGAGTCGACACTCTACCAGCTTTACCGGCGTCCGTCAGCTCCGAAGCGGCGGAGACTCATGTGTTAGATTGTCGGTGTCCAACAGCGGTTCCACGGACGTCCTTCTGACTTTATTGAAGCCGAAAAATGTTGAGTTTGAGCGGGTTGTCAGTGGCTCTGGCCCTCACCCTGTTACCGGACCTGTTGACGGCCTGAGGAAGGAGAATGTGAAGGTAGGACGAGGCGCTAGTTGCTGTTAGCAATGGCTAAACCAGCTTTGAGCTCCAGAAACTTTCCAGCAGCAGAGAAAATTATTCAAACTTTACCCGATTTGTTGGTTTTTGAGGCGTTTGACTAATCCTGGATTTGTGTGTTCACGTTTGTCTTGATCAGAGAGGAGAAGTCAACACGTTCCTAAAAAGTGATGTTATCTGAAGGAAGTTTGGTGACGAAATGCACCGTTGAATCCAGAAGGCAGGAAATCTTATTTCCCCCACATTTCTCAACGTGTTCATCGCAGGCATCAAGTTTTATGGTTTCATAGAAAATTATAAATGGGACGGAGGACAAAAAATTAAGCAAATAAATAAAAATAGTTTAATAGTTCAGATCTCCCCCTGCTGTAACGGAAGGCTGGTAATTGGTCTGAAATTGGGGCGAATGATTCACAAATCAGTCAGTGAATGCAGCACCAACTGAGCAGCCATTTCTGAGGTTTAGATGTGAACATTGCGTTCTGGGAGTGGATGATGGAACTAGATCTACTGGTTTAAGAACAGAAATGGAGCAGCATTAAAGGTCATAGAACCAGAACTGGACCAATGCATCATCAGGTGAAGGGTCAGTTCAAGGCTACAGTACCAGGATGAGAAGCTTGGATGCTTTTGGACAAAGTTTTGCTGGAAGACTCTGTGTCCAATGGTTCTGCAGAACTCTCTTCTAGCAGAACCTGATCCAGGATATCTGAAATGTTCTGGACAAATCCAGAACCTGATGGACCAGGAATGAAGCGACTCTGTCTCTGGCCTGGAGGAATGAGGTTTAACTTCATGTTGGTGCATAGTTAGTTGATTGTGGAATTTTAAAAATGTTTCTGCGTGATGCAAAAACATCACACATTGATGATCAGAAGTAAAATAATCAGGGGAAATGTTCAGAATTGACCCAAAGTATGAAAACACACCTAACAATGATCTGTTTATTAGCGTTATTAATAACTAAACCATCTTACTAGCTCTTGCTGCATTAAAATGTATTCAGCCGATTTAATCTATCAAACAAAGTTTGGAGGAAGATGTGACTAAAGTAATTAACTTTTAGAAATGACCCAAAATGTTCTAAAAGCCTTCATGTTGATCAGATTGTTTGCAGTAGAGAATGTTTCCTCAATCAGAGGGAAAAATATCTGAGTGAAATCAGTTGGTTCTGCAGTGAATTCGTCTGCAGGCTGATTTTATTCAAATGGATCAAAACTTTCATGGTTTGGATATTTTTCCCAGCTGGGACAACCTCAATGCTGTTTTTCTGAAAACATTAAGAAACTTCAAATCATAAGTGTTATTATATTAATGAAACCTAGATCATTTTAGTCCAATATTCCTGACTAATCTTTGTAGTTTTCCAGGAATAATCCTAATCTCAGTCTTCAGGTTCTGGACTCGTCAATCTTCTCTTAGATTGACCGTGTTTATCTCCTGTCTGTTGCAGTGTGCGTCTCCTTCCTGGGGAAGTTTTACGAGTCGCTGAAGAACTCCAACCCCAACAGCGCCGAGGTTGAGAAGGAGCTGCTGAAGAGCTGCAGTGACACCAAAGGAAAAGAGAACAGATTTGTGAGTAAATCGCTGATCTGGGAGTTAGCTGTCGGATGTCTGTCTTCAGGTTCTGTTTTTAGATCAGAGTGTCAAACACAGTTTTATTTTGGGCCACATCAGCATCATAAAAGTTCTTACAGGGCTGCTTGTGCCACAATGTATGATGAAACCCACTATTAACAGTTACAATATATAGGGAAATTTGGGCCAATAACTAATATTTAACAAGTTTATATATATATATATATATATATATATATATATATATATATATATATATATATATATATATATATATATAAGAGATGTTATGTTAAAAAATGTCTAATATTGGCTGATACTGACATTAGTGCCGATATAGTGTGCATCGTTATAAATATTAATCACTGTCTTTGCATTCGATGAGTTCTTCTTAAAATTAATGACTGAACATCTTTTCACACTGATCAGTGATTTAGTGATTGTTGGAGGGACTGTTTGTAGTTTGAGTTGATTGATAAATTAATACTTAGTCACAGAACTTTTGTCCTGGATGTTCTATTGCGTCTCTCTGGTGTCTGAACTAGACCCCACAACAACAAGTAACACTGGACGATAAATTGTCCCAGGAATTATTCCGATAAATGATAACATTGTTGTTTTGTCACCGTTTATTTAATATCTTTATAATGGCATAATAACACAGGTTTGCCCTCAAAGATCAATAAACTTTGATTTTGTACTGTACATGTCACACTGGCACAAAATCCAAAATAAAACATGACAACCAAAAATAAGACAAAATGACAAAAACCCAAACCATAAATAAAATGGATCACAAAGACTTTGTAAACAATTTCCCTTCAAAAATATTCATCAGAATGGAAATTATTGAGCTCATTTAACTTTATCATGAAATTAGTAGATAATTGCTTGAATCTAGATCAGTGCTTTTCAGAGAGTTAGCCACCAGGGGGCGCTGTGGAAGCCTCACAATGTTGCAGGGATGAAAAAATTTTTTTTCTATTTTTTCAATCATTTTTCAAAACAAAATAAATTAAAATAATTTAAATGTTATTTCTAACATTCAGATTGAAGAAACAAAACATGAGCAATGTGTGAATGAAGAAAAAAATTGTGATTAATCAAATAAATTACATATTTTCTTATAAAAAGAGGGCATTGTGACAAAGTTGTATTATCTGGTAGTAAAGTCATAAAATTATCTGATCAAATTTTTCCACCACAGAACACATCCATTTAAATGAGTCAGTAGTTTTGCTAAATTAATGGAATGATCATTGAATAGTAAATTTAAAAGAAAATTCTACAATCTGTTTATGTATTTTGTAACATTGTCTGTGGGTTTGCTAACGGGGTCAGAGGTTAAAGGTTTTGGACCTCCTTCTCTAAAGGGCCACAGAGGATGCTTTTGCAGGCCGGATTTGGCCCCCTGGCCTTCAGTTTGACACCTGTGGTTTAGATGTTGGAACATGTTCTGATCCGATCTCTCCCATTTCATCCGTCTGTTCAGTGTTACTACATCGGCGCGACGAGCGACGCCGCCACGAAGATGATAAACGAAGTGTCCAAACCGCTCAGCTACCACGTCCCGGTGGACAAGATCTGCGAGAAGCTCAAGAAGAAGGACAGTCAGATCTGCGAGCTGAGATACGGTAAGCTGGGTTCTGTCCAGGCAGGTCAGTTCTGTCCAGGCGGGTCGGTTCTGTCGTTCCTCATGTCTGTTTGTCGTCCTGCAGACAAGCAGCTGGACCTGACCACCGTGGACCTGAAGAAGCTGAAAGTCAAGGACCTGAAGAAGATCCTGGATGAGTGGGGCGAGTCGTGCAAAGGCTGCGCCGAAAAGTCCGACTTCATCCGCAAAATAACCGAGCTCATGCCCAAGTACGCGCCTGCAGCCGCCAAGGCACGGACAGACCTGTAGCGGCGGGGACACTGACTGGGCAGACAGGAAGTCCTGCCAGGAGGAAGAGCACGTCTCAGTCTGCTCTGCAGACTCAGAGTTTCTACTGTACTTTAAACTGAAGTTCCTGTTCCTCCAGTCCTTTCAGAATAAGAGCCTGAGTTTGTATGCATCCCAGAATCCCTGACCAGCAGCAGCTCACCTTCCTCATCCCAGAGTCCGTTCAGCCCCAACACGTTTCTGATTGTGAGCAGTGCCCCCTGCTGACTGTTTACAGGACTGCACACCTGAATTAAAACCTGGTTCTGATTCATAGAACTTTTCGGACCCACTCCACCGGTTCTTACCTTGGCTGGTTCTGTTCCAATTGAACCAGTCAGACCATTAAACACATTGAGTCACTTCCTATCTCCTCCGCTTCGTTATTTACGGGTTTCTTGGATGAAAACCATCCCTGCCGACATCCGTACAACGCAAAATATTTTATTTTGAAAGGGCGTTCAGACTGACATTCAGACAGGAAGTAAACAGAACATAAAGTGACCCTTTTATGGTTTGTATTCCTGGTTGTGTTAATTTTTTTTTAAATGTCCTTCATTTCACAGTAAACCCTGTTGAGATGTAGATCTCATCTTCAAGAGGGACCTGAGCAGAAATCTGCAATACGCAGCATCCTGCTCACAAAATTGAACTAATTAATACTTATGCACAACTGTAAAACAATAGAAACCAATTTAAAAGCAGTTTAAATTGTTTAATAGAATCTTGTTGCCTGTCCAACTCATATTTAAGTGACTTTCTGTATTTATTAAAGGTTTTTCCAACATTTTTTGTTTTGACTAAAATGATCTGGTTCTGCTCTCTGGCTTCCCTCCTGCAGAACCTCTGATTGCTGAGTTTCAAACCTGGTAATGAAGAGCAACTATGGCATCTTTTCTGCAGCTTGTTTTTTAATTTTTTTTTATTCATGTAAGAATTAAAATCAGCTTTGGGAGAATATGTTTCAGTTTAAGAATCTGACAGTCCAGTCACTTTTGCTTTAAGCTCCATTACAGATATAAAAAGTGGACATTAAGCCAGAAAACAGCATTAATGTTAAGATTTCAATTGTAATCCTTTTCTGCAGCTCATTGTACCTTGTAGCATTTCTTTTCCAAAGCTCCTGGTGTTGATTTGTCTCGTTTTTCTGCAAACATCTTGACCTGTTCATTGCGATCGACCAGTCCAGCAAAACCTTTTGTTTTATGTTTTGTATTTTATGCTCTGAAATTTTCTACATTTCTATTTTTAATTTTCTGGATTATTTTCTAGCACCTGGCATTCTGTAAAAAAGCAAAACATGAAAACTGGAGAAAAGTAAGAAGTCACATACAAAATAAAAACAAAAGCAGGATTTCTTTCAAATCTGAGCTTCTTGTGACAAGATATAAAATAGTTTGACGAAACAACACAGTGGGGCTCCTTCTCACTCTGACTTTTCGCTGTCTTTAAAAAAAATTCTGCTATATGTTGTTAAAACAAGATATGAAACATTTTATCAATCCTGGCAGTTTCTAGGAATTATATGTTCAAAGCAATAGCCTCTGACTTCCTAAGACTTCCAAACTTAAGCATAAAATATGCATTCTGAAAATTTGTGAAAAAGTATGGACCAAAGTTTGGAAATAAATACAGACCAGTAACTTGTTAAAAGTTTGTTTCATGTTCTAACAAGATATAAAAATATCCATCTGACCAATAAGGATGTTTTAAAAATCATAAAAAAATTGCCACTTCTAAATTTTATATTTTGATGTTTAAGAAATGTCATAGCGAGTTTTAAATGTGGTTGTTGAAATGCACAGATTTTCCAGAGATGAGACTGAGACAGCAAAAGTGCAAAGAACAAAAACTTTCAATATCACTTGCAAGTGGAGAACGACAGGTAAAATCATAGCAAACTCCAGGTGAGGCTGAAACAATCAGAATCATATACAGGTCTTCGTTTCAAATGCCTATTACCAAATTAGGACCCATAACATAAACTCTGAAGCAAATAGACAGGCCTGAGAGGGAGGCGTCGTGTTCCTGGCTTCCTCCAAAGCCACACAGATAAGTTGAGCATCTCATCCGGTTCCCATAGTGGAGCTGCTCTGACTATCGGCCTTGGTCTTCCCTTTTACCTACACAAAGACGAGCTGTTCTTATGAGACTATGAGTTACCAGGTGCAGCTGGCAAGGAGAGAGGAGCAGAAAAACAACTCAGACAAACTCAGGATATTTTATACATGTCTAGGTGTAATCTTAAAAATAATTCATTTTGTTCCACAGTGGTAATAAGATGAAGTGTGAAGTCAAAGTTGGGAACAGAATTAGAAGGTTTCTCGTCACAAGACATAAAAAATATGCTCCTCTGACAGATATCTCCTGTTTTACTTACAATCTTTTTCGAAAAATATTCTGGTTTGTAGTGGGATAACTGTAGTTATATCTCAAACATACTGTTAAGAGTTTTGAATCTTGACTCATTCTGCGCCTGAAATCATTTCTGCTCTTAAATGATCAAGTAAAACGCAACAAAGTCTAAAATAATTTAAAAGATCTTCAGAAAGGTTCCTTCAAAGATTCAAAGAAATTTTTTTCATTCAAATTGAGCAGAAATGTATCAGTTTCTAATCAAAATGAACAAATGTGTTGAAATGAAATCGTAACGTCATGACGTCAGCTGCCTTTGCGTCACCGCGCCCTCCGTCCTCCTCAGGGAACGCGCACATTCCTATTGTCCAAGATGGCGGCCCTGGTGCAGCTCCTGTGATGCTGAAATGTTTCCCATCGTTTCTAACCGTTTTCACCGTAAATGTGCTAAAACTCAGCGGCCGCCCTGGAAGCGCGTCTCTCCCTGAAGCCGTCCCCAGCCGCCTCGTCTCCACGAACACTCCAGGAACCCGCTCCGAGCGCCGAATTCCCGCTGCACGGCTCCGAAAAGTTTGGGCTCCATCCTTCGGTGAAAGATGAAGAGGCAGGCCGGGAGAGAGAGCAGCCCGTCCCGCGCTATCGCTAAGCGGATACGGGAAAGGGAGCGGGAGAGCGCCCGCAGAGAGGAGCTGCCCCCGCCGCCTCTGGCTCTGCTGCTGGCGGAGAGCCGGAGCTATCACCGCCGCAGCCGCAGCAGGGAGCGGGAGAAGCCGCGGCTCAGAGAGGAGCGGGCGGCCGCCCTGGAGCTCCACCACCGACATGAACTCAGCCTGCTCGGACGGCCGCCGCTGCGCGCCGCCGAGCCGCCCGCCGCCAGGCCCGGGACGCTGGAGTACAAGACGCTGCTCATCAGCAACCTGGGCTCGCAGGTGTCGGACGAGGACGTGGAGGACTCGCTGTTCCACGAATTCAAAAAGTTCGGGGACGTGAGCGTGAAGCTGTCCCACACCCCGGAGCTGGGCCGGATCGCATACGTGAATTTTCGCCACCCGGAGGACGCGAAGGAGGCCCGGCACGCCAAGTCGTCCCGCCTGGTTCTGGGGGAACGCCAGCTGAAGATAGAGCCCATGTACGTGAGGAGGCGGAGTGTGACCCCGCCGGACGTCGGGTACCTCCCGCTGCATGCGCCGCCGTACCCCTACCGGCAGCGCTCCCTGTCCCCGCCCGGGCCCGCCGTCAACAGCCTGCGTGAGCTGCGGGCCCGGCAGTACGCCCTGGAGAGCCTGGCGCTGACCCGGGACCGGGACCGCCTGCTGGATTACTATGGGATGCTGGATGAGCGGGGGCGGCCCTTCGGGTTCCCCGCCATGCCCGTGGTGGAGGACCTGAAGCCGGAGGACGACCAGAGGGCCACCAGCAACCTGTTCATCGGGAACCTGGACGGGAACGTGACGGAGGCGGAGCTCCGGCGCGGCTTTGATAAGTACGGCATCATTGAGGACGTGGTGATCAAACGTCCGGCCCGCGGCCAGGGCGGCGCTTATGCCTTTGTGAAGTTCCAGAACCTGGACATGGCCCACCGGGCCAAGGTGGCCATGCAAGGCCGGCTGATCGGTGGGAACCCCATAAAGATCGGCTACGGCAAGGCGAATCCCACCACCCGGCTGTGGGTGGGCGGCCTGGGCCCCGGGAACTCTCTGACCGCCCTGGCCCGGGAGTTTGACCGCTTCGGCAGCATCAGGAACATCGACTATGTGAAAGGGGACAACTTTGCCTACATTCAGTATGAAAGCCTGGACGCTGCCCAGGCCGCCTGCACCCAGATGAGGGGCTTCCCCTTGGGGGCCAGGAGCACCGTCTCCGGGTGGACTTCGCCAAGGTGGAGGAGAGCCCCTCCCGGCCCTTCCCTCCCGGGTACCAGCCTCCCATCGCGCTCTCCGCCCACTACGACCTCCTGGGGGAGGCGTACAGCCACCACCGCAGCCTGGAGAGGGAGCTGCGGGGCGGGCGGGAGCGCTCCCCGCCCCCCCCAAGCCTCCTCTCCCTCCGGGAGCGGGGCCTCCTGGAAAGAGACTTTCCCAGCAGCCCCACGCGAAGCCTGGAGCGGCGGGCCGGAGGGGTGGAGGCCTTCGGGCGGAGCGGACGGGCGGCGCGGAGCCGCAGCAAGAGCCGGAGCGGTGGCTGAAAGAGCGGGAGGAGAGGCGGACCCGCAGGAGGAGCCGCAGCCTGTCCGCCGACAAGCCGCCAGAGGAGAAGGAGCGGGGGAGGTCGCGAGTTCGCGGTCCAGGAGGGGCGGTCTCCTGATGCCAGCCCTGACCGGGCGCGGGTACGCGCCCCCGACTCCACCACCGAGCCACGGGACCACTCCCCCGACAGCGGCGCCGGTCGACACTCCACCACCAACGAAGAAGAGCTTCCCGCCGGCCGCCACCACAGCAAGAGGTCCTCCAGCGATCACCTGAACAACCACCACCACCGCGCCGAGGCGGCCGGCACCGCCTCGCCGCCACGGACGCCCCGGCTCCCCCAGCACGCTGTCAGAGTTCGCCCAGGGCGCCCTGTCCAGGCTGTGGCGCGGCTTCTTCGCCCTGAAGAACAGCAGCTTCCCCACAGACCTGTTCCTGCTGGAGGGCGGCGCGGCCTACTTCCACACGGTGATGAAGGACAGCCTGAAGCTGCAGAGCCAGCCCAGCCAGCTGAAGATCGCCCAGCGGCTGCGCATGGACCAGGCCCGGCTGGACGAGGTGGCGCGCCGCATCAAGCTGGGCCGCCCGGACGGCTTCGCCATCCTGCTGGCCCTGCAGGGCCCCGTGGACCGCCAGGCGCCGGGGCTGGACCCGGGCCTGCAGGTGCGCCTGCTGCGCCACCTTGTCACCTACCTGCGAAACAAGGAGGCGGCGGGCGTGGTGAGCCTGCCGGCCGCCAAGGAGGGCACCCCGGGCGCCATGCTATACGCCTTCCCGCCTGGGGAGTTCTCGCAGCAGTTCCTGCAGGCGGCCAAGAGGACTGTGGGTAATCTGGAGGAGGAGCACATGGTCATTGTGATTGTCAACGACACTAACTGACTCCCGGCGCTTCCTCCATGTTGTTCAGTGTTTGTTTCAGTTTAAATGAATTCCAGCCAGTTACACTACATGTTCCTCAGCGACCCGGGCGGATGAAGACGGCCAAAGGAACCTTTAGAAACACTTCAGCTGGTTTTGCTCCAGGAAGCTGGAAAACGTGACACTAAAAGCTTCTCACTTTATCCCGTTTTATCCATCCTGGAAACTCGCAAGATGTTTCTGGAAACTTGAAGCTAATCCTTTCCTGTTTTTATTTGGTGATCCTCCTCTTCCTCGCTGTGTTCTGGTGTTCTTAGCATTCCAGTCCATTCTCCCAGCATGCACCAGGAGAGACACCCTTCCCATCTATGTTGAAACTTCCAGTTGATCCGTTTGAGTTGGGATGGTTTTTTAAACTCCCAGCAGAGCCTCATGTTTCCATCTGTTCTGGTTTTATTAGCGAACGGTAGATTTATGAAGCAGAAGAAACATTTTTGACTCCAAAACTTTCAGCAAATTAAAAACTCAAATAGCAAATTGGACATTTTTATGGGAATGAGTCAGAAATATGAGCAGATCAGGATGAATGATGGTCACTAATGATTTGTGTTTTAAAAAGAGAAATACTTGATGTTTTATTGTTTCATCTTCAAACCGTTTCTGAAATAAAACCAGAGTTTTTACAGCTGAAGTCTCATTTCTGCTTTTGAAACTAATGGATTGAATTAAAACCGAGGTTTTAAACTCATTTTCTTTTTCACACACATCGAGATCAACAATGCCACTAGGGGCAGAAAGTATTGCTAAAAATATTAAAAATAATAAATAACTATTATGAGTTCCTCTTTTAATTAAATATGAAATGTATTTTCACCTTCATGCAATCTATTATACAGAAAACTGCTGATTTGATGATATTTAAAAACTCAACTATAAACTTGAGTCTAGAAGGCCACAAAAAAAACTTGGCGTACTGAATTTGGCCCACGAGCCGTGACGTCGACACATGATCTAACATTAAGAGTTCAGAAATGAGACAGTAGCTCAGAAGTTTAAAGAAAACTAATCAGATAGTTTCATGTAAAAGTACTGTTAAAAAATGTTTAACTTTATTACAAAAATCGATTGTTTTGGACTAAATTAATGAAGGTAAGGTCATTTATTTGGTTCAAAATTAATGACAGTTTTTTTCATAAGCTAAATAAATGGAGGAAATTTAGTGAAAATATTAAGGAAACATTGTCTGCAACTCCTTGTTGCAGTGAAACAAAATTAATAAATAAGCCACAAATTATAAAATACACATACAAACATTTGTTAAAAAATTCAGAAATTCATTTTACATTTACTAGAAAAGTTTGGATATTTTCTGTCAGAAATTACAAGAAATGTAATTTTCTGACATTATAACATCTAAACTTACTGAAAGAAAAAAACTTGTCAGGATTGTGGAGAAAATATTTTCCAACTAATGTCTGGAGTTTTCCCTTAAAAATGACTGACATCACAATATCAGGGAATAACTTTGTTTTAATATGATATATTCGTTATTGAATTACTATTAATTAATGCTCTTGAATCCTTTTGCCTTGAATCTTGGAAAATTGTGATTTTCTTAAGACTAAATTACATTTTTTTTCTAATGAAAATGTTAACTTGAATTTCAATTTTCTCCTTCATGGATAATTATTTATTTTCAGAACTCATACCGCGTCATATTCGGGGTTTTAGGTCATATTGGGGTTGAATAGCCAACAGTTAAGGCACATTTTCAGCAACAAGGCAAGACAAAGTGTTTGTTTATGTCGGTAGGTGGCGGTAAATGCATCTTCACATGGTTTGGCATCCGCCATTGAAACCCAGAAGAAGAAGCAGCAGGAGAAGAAGAAGAAGAAGAAGCAGCGGGAGAAGAAGAAGAAGTTGTTAGACGGCAAAGGATCCGCGGACGGAGTGTTTCTTTCTGAAGGTTTGTAGCTTCTGGTTCTGTTTCAGCTTCTTGTTTGGTTTGGATATAAGGGATCGTTTCTGTTTCCGGCTCGTTCTGCTGCATTTCTCTGGAGTTTGTTTCCTGTTTGAACTCGAGAAAACAGCGAAGCTAAACTGGCCTTTTGCTAACAGCAGCGTTTCAGTTATTCATCTTCATTTGGTTTTGCTCACAAACAACAGTTTTGTGGGCAAAACTGTCGTTTTTGTGAGCAGATTTTATTGTTCAACAATCTGCTAAAATATTTAAATTTCTTTAAATCTATATTTTGAAACCTGTATGACAAACCCCAGATCAGAACAAAAAGAGCATTTTGACATGAAAAAAAGTATAAATAAAAATAGTTGTGTCTGAAAATACTCTGCAAACAAAGTAGAAAAGAAGCAGGAATGATTACACTCTTAAATTAAACTGTTAGCATTTTGATATGATGGGTTTTTTTTGTGTTATTACAACATTCATGCACTTCCTGCTAATACAATTTGGTCACTTTAAAATGTGGGTGATTTTTAGTATTATTTTCAAAAAGGACATTTATGAATAAAAAACTGACCAAGAATGACTATAGTTTGACTGTTCATCCCTGGTTGGAAGACCATATTTTGCTGTGTCAAAGATTAGATTTGCACCCATAAATAGATTTCTCATACAAATATTTGTAAAATAAATATTTTGTTTTATCAATATCCATCTGTTGTGCCAGATTGGGACTGAATGTGGTGAAAAATATTGCGTAAGAATAAATGTGTTTTATTTTACAACTCAATAATTAAAAAAAATCTTACTAGGAAAATTATGCCAAAGATTTCCATATTTTGTTTTAATGAAATTTTGCAACCACTTGAGTCACTGGATCAGAATCAGTCATATTTGATTCCTCCTATCAAAATTTAACTACATAAATTCTTCTCATAAAATGCAGCTGTTAGTCCAAATGAAATTAGGTTGTCTTTACTTTAGGAATGCAAGTGATTAATTAGTGTATCTAAAGATCTTATTGATCAATGAATAATTAATTAAGTTAGTAATTTTCTTAAAACCCTTAGTTGTTCTGAGAGATAACCACCTTTACAGAGTAAACAAAGACACATTTTCTATAATATGCTGAATTTTTTGCAGAAAGAAATCAAGCTTCCTCCTTAAACATTTTCTCTGCTGCTGTTTCAGCTTCACTCAGAGACAAAATGGCTTCCAGACCAGAGGAGGATCTCTGCTGTCCGGTCTGTCAGGATGTCTTTAAGGATCCTGTTGTTCTGTCATGCAGCCACAGCTTCTGTAAGGAGTGTCTGAAGAAGTCCTGGAGAGCAAGACCTGGACTTTCATGTCCTGTTTGTAGGAAAAGATCTGACAGAAAAGATCCTCCAGTTAGTTTGGCTCTGAAGAGACTCTGTGAATCATTCTTAGAGCAGAGAGAGCAAAAAGCTTCAGAGAGCTCTGCAGTCTGCACTCTGAGAAACTCAAACTCTTCTGTCTGGAACATCAGCAGCCAGTTTGTCTCATCTGCAGAGATTCAGAAAAACACATCAAGCACAGATTCAGACCCATTGATGAAGCTGCTCAGCAACACAAGAAGAAACTTCAGGAAACTCTGAAACCTTTAAAGAAGAAACTGGAGCAGAAGAAGGAAGTTAAAGAGGAGTTTGATCAGACAGCAGAACACATGAAGGTCCAGGCCCGACACACAGAGAGGCAGATTGTTGAGCAGTTTAAGAAGCTTCATCAGTTTCTAGCAGAGGAAGAGGAGGCCAGGCTGGCTGCACTGAGGGAGGAAGAGGAGCAGAAGAGAGGGATGATGGAGGAGAAGATGGAGGCTCTGAGCAGAGAGATAGCAGCTCTTTCAGACACAGTCAGAGCCACAGAGGAGGAGCTGAGAGCTGAAGACGTCTCATTCCTGCACAACTACAAGGCTGCAGTGGAAAGAGTCCAGCGCTGCCCCCTGCTGGAGGATCCACAGCTGCCCTCAGGAGCTCTGATAGACCAGGCCAAACATCTGGGCAACCTGGCCTTCAACATCTGGAGCAACATGAAGGACATGGTGACCTACACTCCTCTGGTTCTGGACCCAAACACGGCTGGGCCAAGACTCCATCTGTCTGACGATTTGACCAGAGGGACGTTTGGAGAGAAACAGCAGCTTCCTGATAATCCAGAGAGATTTGGACCAGAGTGGTCTGTCCTCAGCTCTCAGGGCTTTAACTCAGGGAACCACAGCTGGGATGTTGATGTTGGAGACAGTCAGTATTGGTTGCTGGGTGTGTTAGTAGAGTCTGCCCAGAGGAAGGGGAAGATACAGTCTGGATTTTGGGTTATTCAGTTCTATGCAGGTATATATTCAGCACGGTTTACAGAAGATTGTCTCTCAGGTCTCCCAGTCCACAAGAAACTCCAGAGGGTCAGAGTGAATCTGGGACTATGATGGAGGGAAGCTGTCCTTCTCTGATCTGGATACTAACACACACATACACACCTTCACACACACCTTCACTGACCGGATGTTTCCTTGTTTCGTCTCTGCCAAGATCAAAATCCTATCCATGGAGATCTCAGTGAGAAAACAGCAGCTCTGTCCAAGTTAAACCTTCTTGATCAGATTTAAACTCTGTGGTTTTAGACAGGAAACTGGAGTTTCTACTGAACATCTGGTTGTTTTCAGCTCAGCTTCAGATCTGCTTCGTAAGCCAGAAACTGAATATGACATGAAGTGGATGATGTGAAGCTTGGACTGGCACTGACTCAGCAGGGTCAGTTTATCATACCGTCGCTCAGAAAACATTTCAAAATGCTTCGCAAGAACTCCAAGGGTAAACATCTAAAATACATTCATCAAGGTTTGATGAAACATACAGTTCAATATATCAGATGCCTAAGAATATAAGCATCGCAGGTTTTCTGCAGTTTGGTTCAGATCTGAGGAGCATAAACTAAAAGATGCCTCACTCTGTTCTGGTTCTTGAACTCTGTATGGACAGATCTCTGGAGACCTTCATGGTTCGTACTTGGCTAGGAACTCAGCCAAGTACGAGTTGGCTGACCCTAACAGTAACCCTGCTCTATGGACCAACAGCAGAAATGAGAGTTTCTGTTGTATCTGAGAAGATTTTGAGGAAATTCTGAGCCATCCTCTCATTGCTGTGATGAACAACCTGCCTTTACCGGACTGAGCTGACATGGAGAAATACAGAGCAAATGGTAATCTGGCACTGGCCAAACATCTGGGCAACCTGGCCTTCAACATCTGGAGCAACATGGAGACCCTGGTGAGCTACACTTCTCTGGTTCAGATCCAAACACGGCAAATCCAAAGCTCCTGCTGTCTGAAGATCTGACTGGTGTTAGTGAGGAACAGCAGCTTCCTGATGATCCAGAGAGGTTTGATTACTCGTGTTCTGTTCTGAGCTCTGAGGGTTTTAACTCCCAGCTGGGATGTTGATGTTGGAGACAGTTCACATCGGTCTCTTGGTGTGTTAGCAGAGTCTGTCCAGTGGAAGGGAAAGGTAGATTCTGGATGTTGTTTATGCAGTTTTGTAAAGGTAAATACTCAGCATGGTCTCCACCACCTCCTGTCATATTCATCTCAGTCCAGAGGATCAGAGTGAATCTGGACTGAGATGGAGGAAACTGTCCTTCTCTGATCTGGACGGACGGACACACAACACACACACACACACACACACACACACACACACACTGACAAAATGTTTCCTTTCTTCAACACTGAGGATTCTCTCAAAATTCTACCGATGAAGATCTCAGTGGGCAAACATCAGCTCTGATGTCCTCAGCATGAAGAACTGAAACTGCAAATGAAACCTTATTGGTCAGATTTAAACTGTTTTAAACAGGAAACTGGAGATGATCTGAATGATCAGCTGGTAGTTTTCTGCAGAGAGGATCTTCAGGGCTGACCTTCCCTCCAAACAGGACTTCTACAGCGTTAGGTTCAGGAAGAGGGCAGCCAATATCTCTGCAGACCCCACACATCCTGGACACAAGCTGTTTACATTTTCACTGTCAAGGTGGAGCTACAAACAGTTCATGCCAGACTGCCAACTTAAAATATAGTGACTCATGAATGTTTGCTTTCAACCAACCATGAGTTTTCCTCCGAAAAAGTGTATATAAACATATTACTCTTATTTTTTATGTTTATGAAATGTGCATTGATTTGTGTGCACAATTTTGACCAATAAATCTTTATTTCTGATCAGTCACCAACAGATGTGTGGTCTGTGTAATCTGACCAGTGTGAGTCTAGGAGAGAAACGGCAGCTTCCTGAAACTCCAGAGAGGTTTAATACTGGACGAGTCTGTCCAGAGGAAGACATTCATCAAGTCTGGATGGTGGGTTATTCAGGTCTGTAGAGGTAAACATGTTCCACCTGCTCCTCCGATCGATCGATCAGTCCAGAGTGAATCTGGACTGATGGTGGAAAGCTGTCATTCTGAATACTAACACACACACACCTTCACTGACGGGATGTTTCCTCTTCATCATGGTGGGTAAAGCAAAGATTTTACCAATGGAGATCTGAGTGATCAAACTGCAGCTCTGATGTTCTCAAAGTTTCCTCAGATATTTGAAGCTGTGGTGTCCATACACCCAAACCCAGGACGCCATTAGTCTGTCACTATTATTATGACACGTTCTAGTGACACGTTGGTCTGCCGGGAATCAATCAATACTATGGATATTTGTAGTTTATTATTTTTCAGCCATGTCTTCTTCTTTTGTGGTACATACAAACATTCATGTAAGTTTGTTTGCACCAACTTGGGATTAAACTTTCCCTGCTGACTCGTTGACAGATGGGTTTGGGTCGGTTCTGTAAACGGAGCCCAGCAGAGCAGCCAGGAAATGTTTGACTGATCATGACACCTGATTTACTTTGTGAAAATTATGGCATTGTGTCCATATTCAGGTATTTTAAATGACTAACAAATTTTCCAGATATTACATTATTTATTAGATATAACTGGTGAATATGGTAAAACAGCAGGTGTCTAGTTGGTTGTGATGAAACTAGACCTTTAATGTGATTTACTTTAGTTCGACTGCTGGTGAGGAAAAAAAGTTTTTCTATTTCACAAAACTTTAAACTCAATACTTAAAATAATTTATGTGTAAAAATGATGCAAAGTACTTCTAGTAAAAATATTTACAGTTTAAAAACAGTGAAACTGGTCTACACATTAGAGATCTCATTTTAACATCAGCAGTGAAAGTGTGTGACTTAAATACTTTTTCAAATGTTTATTCACTATTACATGAACTAGATAGACATGGTAAAATAGACCAGCATTTATTTAAGTTGCTGTTTTTTACTAAAATGTCACTGAAATAACTGTAACTAAACCTTCCTCTGCTTTTTAACAGTGAATAACAGGAAAGAATGAATTTAACCATTACTTTAAATGGTTAGCTGTGAAAAGTCAGCTATTTTTATTAGGTAAGACAAACTTTTTTTTTATTAAAACCTACAATACAAATAAAGTGAGGAACACAACACAGTGTAATAAAGTACGGCAGGGTGTAGCTGAATATAATAATTAGGTTAATGCCAGTGATTGTCAGTGTTTGTATTCTTTCTATAAAAAAAATAAAGTATTTCAATGAAAATCCAGAATCAACATTACATTATAGTTATTACATTCTTTCCAAAATCTTTTAAAGTATAATCTCAGAATAAATGGCTGCTACTAACAATGACTATATTAATATTGTACTGAACTGAATTTGGCTCAGAGAAACAGGTTTGTGGAGTGAAATGTTTCCAGTCATGCTCACCGCGGTCCAGTAGGTGGCGGTAACGCTCCGTATAAACGGTATGAAGCAACAGAAGAAGAAGAAGCTGTCTAATGGACAGATTGCATCCCCCACAGCGGCCGTGGGAGCGCCGTGGGTCGTGTTTTAGGGGGTTTTAGGTTTCGAACCGGAGCTGGGAGAGAAAACATCACAGGAAGATGGAAAATGTGTGACTTCCGAGCGGAAGCCCAACAGGAAGAGACGTGAATTTAAACAGAATCCCGAAATGGAGGCTGAAGAGCTGCAGAAACTCGGTCTGTTTAAAGTCTCGCCTCAAATATATGCAGCTTAATTTAAGGTTTTATTTAGGATTCATTTAGTTCATTATGAAGATAAACTCAACCAGTGTTTGTAGCCTAGCTAGCTAGCTAGCATCTTTAGCTTAGCTGCTTGAAGCCACGTGTTGTAAAGTGTTGGAGCCCCGATAAATGATCCAGATCAATGAAACAGTTCTGCTTTAAATCAACCCTGTCTGCAGATCAGGAGCTAAATGTACCGTATCAGTAGGAGTGTATATCAGTGTGTGTGTGGATCAGTGTGTGTGTATCAGTGTGTGTGTATATCAGTGTGTGTGTGGATCAGTGTGTGTGTGGATCAGTGTAGGAGTGTATATCAGTGTGTGTGTGGATCAGTGTGTGTGTGTCTCAGTGTTAGTGTGTTTATCAGTGTGTGTATATCAGTGTGTGTGTGTCTCAGTGTAGGTGTGTGTATCAGTGTGTTAGTGTGTTTATCAGTGTGTGTGTATCAGTGTGTGTGTGTCTCAGTGTAGGTGTGTGTCTCAGTGTAGGTGTGTGTATCAGTGTGTTAGTGTGTTTATCAGTGTGTGTGTATCAGTGTAGGTGTGTTTATCTGTGTGTGTGTATCAGTGTGTGTGTGTCTCAGTGTAGGTGTGTGTATCAGTGTGTTAGTGTGTTTATCAGTGTGTGTGTGTGTATCTTTAACAAAAGGTTATTTGCTTCTTTGTTGCTCCATCCTATTTATGTGGGGACTTGTGTCGTTCTGCACCAACCCCTTTACTCTGTCATACAAATCAAGGTTCCCTCTTTGTTTGCTAAGAACAACATGGCAGCACCACTTTGAATTGTCAAAGACAGAGGAGCAACTTAACACATTAAGAGACAAAAAATGACATATTTTAAAGCTGATCATGCAACAATATGGCTGCAGCTGTTGATAGCTCATTAAATAGTATGACTTAATTTAGTAATTGGTGCAACTGTTAGGAAGCTGCAGATGTTCCTTCATGTTCCTAAATGCCTGTTTGACCGCTTGGATGCCGTTTGATCCTGACTGCTGATTACAGCTGGATTGGAAGATTGTTATTTTTTTATTATTGCTTTCTCCAGAGGTCAGACATTTACCAACCAAAGAGCCGTTTTAACCTTATTCCTTCAAAAATAACTTTGTCTCAACAAGAAAACTAATGTGACTCTGCAGAAAAAAAACTTTATATTTCAGAAAAACATTTTATGATCATAGAGCCATAATTTTATTATGCATTTTCTGTATACCAGATTATGATCTTCCACTGTTACCTGCAGACTTTCAGCAGGTGCTGCTGGTTAAGGAAGAGCTTCCTGAAGGACGGAGTCCTGGTGTGGACCTGCCGGATCCAGAGTCACTCCAGATCAAGGAGGACCAGGAGGATCACTGGTCCAGTATGAAGGAGGAGACTGATGCCAGCTGGTTTCCAGTAACCACAGTCATCAGGAAGCCTGAGGAAGACGAGGAAGCGAATCCTGTTTCCTCACAGCAAACGGGGAACGCAGATATTCCAGTCAGCTATTCAGTTGGCCTAAGGAAGTTAGAAAGTGAGGGAGAGGACTGTAGGAAGCTGGATTGTAGTGCAGATGAAAGTTCTTCAGATACGGATGTCAGTGAGGATAATGTGGGAAATTTGAACGGTTCTGATTCTCAGCTGGAAGGTTTTTCTTTTAGGTGTTTGGTTAACAGAAAATATACAATGAAGAAGAATTTGAAATTAAGGGATTCCCAAATGGATCTGAAATGTTTTAGCTGTAATGAATGTGGCAAGAGCTTTCTGAGGGAAAATCTTCTTAAAATACATGTGAGAATCCATACAGGGGAGAAACCATTTAGTTGTGAACTTTGTGGGCAAAGATTTATACAAAAATCCAACTTGAACAGGCACATGAGATTCCACACAGGAGAGAAACCATTTTGGTGTCATCTCTGTGGACAGACCTTTAGTTGGAAGTCCAGTTTAGACTGTCACATGAGAATCCACACAGGAGAGAAACCATTCAGTTGTGATTTCTGTGGACAAACATTTGGTGAGAAATCGGTTCTAAACACTCACATGAGGATTCACACTGGAGACAAACCTTTTAGCTGTGATGTTTGTGAACAAAGATTTAACCAAAGCTCACATCTAAAAAGGCACATGAGAATCCACACTGGAGAGAAACCATATTGCTGTGAGGTCTGTGGGCAACGATTTGGTGATAAATCAGTGCTAAATATTCACATGGGAAACCATACAGGAGACAAACCATTTGGTTGTCATGTTTGTGGACAGCGATTTAGTCGTAAGTGTATTTTAGACAGTCACATGAAATCCACACAGGAGACAAACCTTTTAACTGTGATCTTTGTGGGAAAAGATTTAGCCACAAGTCAGCTGTGAACATCCACAGGAGAATCCATACAGGTGAAAACACATTTTGTTGTCAAACATGTGGAAAAAAATTTAGTCGCAAGTCAGGTTTAGAGAGTCACATGAGAATCCACACTGGAGAACAACCTTTCAGATGTGATGTTTGTGGACAAAAATGCAACGAAAGAGCACATTTAAAAAAGCACATGGGAATCCACACAGGAGAAAAACCATTTGGTTGTGATGTCTGTGGAAAAAACTTTAGAGATAAATGGCATTTCAAGAGTCACATGAGGGTCCACACAGGAGAGAAACCATTTAGTTGTGATATTTGTGGAAAGGGATTTAATGATAAATCAGATTCCAATAATCACATGAAAATCCACACAGGAGAAAAACCATTTGCTTGTGAGCTTTGTGGACAAAGATTTAGACGAAAACCCTGTTTGAACATTCACATGAGAATCCACACTGGAGAAAAACCTTTTGGTTGTGATTTTTGTGGGAAAACATTTAGTCAAAAATCCTATTTAAAAATTCACATGAGAATTCACACAGGAGACAAACCATTCAGTTGTGACGTTTGTGGGAAAAAATTTAACAGCAAGTCAAATTTAAAAAGTCACATGAAGATTCACACAGGAGCAGAAACTGTTCACATGTGAATATTAAGACATCTTGATGTGAACTACTTGAAAGACTGCAAAGGTGTTTCTAAAATCCATTTTCCTAGTAAGAATTGAAGTGTTTGTGTTAAGCTGATGTTCATTTACTGAGCCGACATGAAGCCTGGTTTTGCAGCTGCAGGTTTGACGGCCTGTGAGCTCAAAGGGGTTTGCAGCTGCTGCACACACATTGGGTTTATTTTTTTAAAACAATGTTTTTACATTGACCATCTTTATGAATATTTCCAAGATTTCATGAAAAAAAAAAACAGAAAATTGCATTCTGGATGTTGTGGTCCATTCTAAAAGACTTGTTTTTGTGATTCATGTGTTTGCCATATATTTGCAAGGTCAGGGGTCAGTTTAGGCACTTAAGGCACAATTACATCATGAGACAAACTAACACTTTTTGTGGTTGTTGGTTTTGATTTTTGTCAACATTTAAAAAAATATTTTAAAAGAACTATTGATACTCAATGCAGCACAAGATGAGAGTGGAGTGTGTGTTGGTTCATAGATATTTTTGGCCAAAGGAGAATTAATCTAAGGTCAAATTGAACATTTCAACATAATTGTTCCTTTAAACCCAGATTTCTAAAACAGGTGTGACGTGTCAGGTTTACTTTGGTGAGTTCAGTGAGAAAATTATGAACCCAAAAGTTACCTACAGACGAGTTTGAGTAACAAATGTTTTTATGACAAGAAAAGAACTCATTTAAATTTAGCTCGCCTCAGTTTTTAGCCAGAACTGAACTTCTGAACAGAAAATGAAGTAAGAAAATCACTAGAAGATGTTTCTGCTAATTCACTCATGTTTTATAATTATTTACTAAAGAAATATTTTGAAGAAAACCTGAAAATATCAGTGATTTTCTGGTTTCTCAGGTTAAAATGCAGCTGAAACTGAGAACATTTGGACTCATGAGGAAACCAATCCAGCACCACCTGTGCCATCATGTTAACACAATTAAGATTTTAAATCAACAGTAACCAATTCCTGTTTCAGTGCCTGAAAAATTTCTGTCCTTCCAGGACTGTCCTTTGTTTTCATAAAGAATAAAATTAGAGCCTGAAAAGTTTTAGTTTGGACCTGATCAGAGGTTCTGGTGCTGCAGAGCTCAGATTGCTCAAACGGGTGATAAATGGGATTTTGTGTGTAATTTGTGATGCAGTTGAGAGAAACATGAGAACTTGGCATGTTTAACCACAAGAGGGCAGCAGAGTTCTGAGTGATCATCAGTAACAGAAGCAGCCGAAGTTTAATTTATACAGCAGATTTTATTAAAACACCAAAATTATTAAACCTTTTCCTGAAGGTAAATGAAATGCACAGCTCTGTTGACGTGGTTTGAACTGAATCCGTTCATTTCTGTTTGATTCTAAGACTTTATCGACTTTCGCAGGAGAGAAGAAGAACTTAGGTGTTGTGTGTCAGTTGGTCGCCGAGGCGCCCAGAGCCCAGGATGTCCTGGTTTCAAACCATTATGATTGGAACTGAATGAAAATAAAAGAATATAAACACTAAGATGTTTTTAATGTTTCTGTTCTTCAATCCTGTGAATTCATTACATTTTATACAGCAATAAATGCCAAAATGCTCCTTAGATAAAGATCAAATTGTTCTAATTTCTCATTTCTTGATCTAAAATATTCATATGCATGTTATGGATTAAGACAGACAATCTGTGGAAACATCGGTCCCTTTGGGTTGCTATTGTAGCCTGAACAACAATCAGTTAGAGCCAGGAGGAGGGACATACTGCTGTCAATCACTTCATGTAGTCGCTGCTAAATGTGGTAATGGCAGATAGATTAACAGCACTAAGTCCCGCCTCCTGGCTTTGATTGGTTATTATACTTTCATAACATGCTGACAGTTTCAACAAATGTGTAAAAAAAAAGTATTAAAAGTTGCATAATGTGGCTGTAACTGAGGATTACAGCAGAAACTGGGTCCGGTAACGTTAACATGGTGACAGGGTTTCTGGTCCTGGCCGGTCAGAGCAGAACAAACAGAGACGAGGGAACCGGTTCTTTCAGTGCTCGTTTATTGGATCATGGCATGGATGGAAGAAAACAGAACCACCGACCCGTCAGGCCGACCCAGACACGGGACTCACAGAACCTCTGGTCATAATGGACTTTCATGTTCAAGTGCAATAATATTCATAACTGTCCTCAGATGCTGCTGAGCGCGCGGCGCTGCACCTTCACCTGCAGAGATCCACTTCCTGTCTGCGTCACCCTGCAGAGATCCACTTCCTGTATGCGTCACCCTGCAGCGGACCACTTCCTGTCTGCAGCAGACCGACAGGAAGTTTGTCTCGCCAGTCAAACATCCACATTCAGAAACGTTTTCGGATCAGGTTCCTTCCAAGCAGAGGTTCACGGGCCGACTGCAGGTCAGGAAATGCTAAATGTCGGGTCTGGTGATTTTTGTCACATAAATAGAGGGATTCATAACATGGAGGATGTTTTGGTTCTTATTTTTACTTTTTCTTCAACATTTGTTCCTAACGTTTGCTTGATGAAAATATGTCGGTCTGTTTAGAAGCTGTTTGATTTGAATCTGATTTTGTGCTGGTTGCTCTCAGCGGCATCAGAACCTGCTGTTCATACGGAGAAGCAAAAAGACACTAAATGGAGATTTAAAAATGGTTCTAACAACAAAAACTATTTATGAGCATTTGCTTCAAAATTCAGCTGCAGTTTTTTACCTCAGCTAAACATAAAGAAAATCGAACATTTACATTAAGAGGATTATCAATAGTTTCTGCATAGCAAAAGTAGCTTTAAAGACATTTAAAGCTACTTTTGACCAAAGATGATTTGAGTCAGATATTCCATCATTCAGGAGGTGATAATTAGTACGAATGATTTGTTAAGGTGATAAACATCTAAACTATGGATGAACCAACAGATCGATGATCTGATTGATCAGCCGCCGCGCCGCAGGGAGGCTCCGCCCAGGTCCAGTCTGAACATTGGTTCATTACAGGGACGCCGCTGCTGCCAACTCAGCAAATTAACATCGCAGGCAAAAAAATATCGGCCAAAATCGTTCATCGAAACTCAGATGAAAGTGAAACGATCGAGATAAAACTGCGACCTGACGGTCCCGCAGACAGGATGTGTGTCGTCTTCAGGGCGGACACGCGAGTCTGAACCAGGACCGCTGGTCCGGGTCGGTCCGGTTCAGTCCGGGCCGGTTCGGTCCGGTTCAGTCCAATCCGGGCCGGTTTGGTCCAGTTCAGTCCGGTCCGGGCCGGTTCGGTCCGGTTCAGTCCAATCCGGGCCGGTTTGGTCCGGTTCAGTCCGGTCCGGGCCGGTTCGGTCCGGTTCAGTCCGGTTCAGTCCAATCCGGTCCGGTCGGCCTCCACCTGAACTGGACCTCAGAACTGTTTTTGCATAGACATCAATTCAAGTCAGACTCATGCAGACAGAGGAGGAACGACAGAAACGATGAAGAGGAAGAAGAAAGAAGTGATGAGACTTTATAAAAATAAGTGAGCTTGTTAATCATCATCATCATCATCATCAGTAGTTATTAATGCAAACAGAAAGTTTATGAAACAGTTCAACCGGAAGCTGCTCAGTATTGCTTTGATCCCCAGACGCTGCAGCCTGGTGTGTGTGAGTGTGTGTGTGTAGGCGTGCGTGTTTGTGTAGGCGTGTGTGTGTGTGTGTGTGTGCGTGTGTGTGTGTGTGTGTGTGTAGGCGTGTGTGTGTGTGTGTGTGTGTGTGTGTGTGTGTGTGTGTTAGTGAGGCCAAGCAGACATGCAGCAGCAGCGAGGATCCAGAGAAACGTTCCTCAGTTCACCCGGAAAAATGAATAAATTAAAGAAAAAATCAAAGACAGAGAATCTGCTGCAGAACTAGAATAAGGAGAATAAAATCAAAATGTTTTGGATCATTAAATATCCTCTAACGGAAAGTTTTGTTGAAGCTGTTGCTTCTGGTTTACTTCTATATTTTTAATAAAAGCTTGTTGGCACTGATGTTTCTCTCTACTGACGTTTATCTGGCTGCTGTTTGTGGAAGAATCTGTTTTATTAGGAAGTTTAAAAAGTAAAAGTCTCAAACTGCAGCTTCAGGATGAAACTTGTTTTGAGTCTCTGTTTAATCTGAATTCAAATAATTCACCAAATTATTGAAAAGATGTTTTTTTAATCAAAGTTTTGATCATTTTGGCTTTCCGTACTTTCAGATCCCGCTCCCTCCTGCTGCCTTTGCTCAGCAGGAATTTTTATTTTCACTCTTCAGGTTAAAATCATGTATGTTGTCATTAGCAGCCATTTTTAATTGCTTCTGAGAAGTTAAATGCCATAAATCTCATTCTTTTTTGTTTTTTATCCATAATAATCC